AACTTGACTGAAGTAGGTGAGATAAAGTATGGCCATTCTTGGTTTCAAGAGGTATTCCAGTTCCACTTCCAGGGCAGATTTGTTTGTTCTCTGGCAGTCCATGGTATTTTCAGTATTCTTTGCCAACACCACAATTCAAAGACCTCAGCTCTTCTTTAGTCTTCTTATTCACTGTACAGCTTTCACATGCATATGAGGCATGCTAGTTAAGTTTTTGTCAACTTGGCTAGGCCTGGATGAGTGGCTGGGCAGCTGGATGTAGTATTCCCCATGATGAGACTGGCAATCAACTCCATGATGGGACGGCTCTACCACAAGCAGCTGAGTAGCTACTCTAGGGATGTGGCTTGCTTCCCATATATAAGTAGCAGCTTTGGGAATGGTCTCTAGCTTGTGGCACACTTGAACCCTGCATGTAGCCATGCCGTTGTTCAGCAGCCTGCCGTGCTCTGCTGATCCTGGAACTTTCAGTGGGCTTGAATCAATGGCCTGCCATGTTGTTTGGTAACATCAGGACTGTGCCATTTTATTTGTTGACCTTGGGTTTGTTAGTAGCTGCCTTAGTGAAGAGATGCCTCTAGCTTCAGTGGGCTGGGAGCAAGAGGCAGAGCTGAAGTCCAAGGTCAAGGGGTTTTCACACAGTCCCTAGAGCCTGGCACTTTGAACTTGGACTTCTAGCTTCCCAAACTGTAATGGAATAAACTCCTGTTTGTTCAAGCCATCCCATTTGTGGTATGTTCTTGTCAGAGTGGCACTAGGTAACCAGAACATTAGGCAATTAAATATTCTGACTCTTATAGACCCTATAGGACAGAGTAGAACTGCTGCATAGAGTTACCAAGATTGCAACCTTTATGAGAGCATACTGCCACATCTTTCCCCAGTGCAGTCACTGGTAATTTCAAACCATTGACATTTCAGTTTGCAGCTGAGCACTTTACCACTGCACCACTAGGACTACTCTCTACTGCCTGATCGATCACTGTTCATAGTTTAAGAAAGAAATGTGGCTGGCTCAACTGATTCTATTGCCATAAATAGACAACTGATATTTTATACATTTTGCTAATGAAGATTGACTCTTATTTAGCCAAACCAAACTTTATCTTCTTTTACCCAATGAAGTTTTTCCTCCTTGAGCAGTGACTAAGGACTAATTTGCTGATAAAAATTGGTACATCTTGTTAATCTTTCAGTAATGTTTTGAACTTAAAACAAAAAGAATAAAAGTTTTACTATGTGTTTATCTCACTTTATTGGGGAAATACATAAGTATAAGGAACAGTATAGAAATCATAGACACAAACACTCATGTAAACGTCACCCAGCTCACAAAATAGAACTTTACCCATAGCCCTTCTCTATTATAACAGCTGCTCTCCCTATTCAGGGGGCTCTGGTGGTGTAGTCCCTAAGGCATTTGACTACTAACCAAAAGGCTGACAGTTCAAAGCCACTAGCCACTCCTCAGAAGGAAGACTGGGCAAATCTACTTCCAAAGAGATATCATCTTGGAAACCCAAGGAAGGGTCACTGTCAGAACCAACTCTACTGCAGTGGGTTTAGAGGTTTTTTAAGTCTCCCTATTCAAAGAAACCACTGTGCTAAAGTTAATTGTAATGATGTTCTTACTTTCTTTTATAGTTTTGCCAACTGAGAATGTATCACTAAATAATATAACTCAATTTTTTCAGTTTTGAAGTTTATATTACTGAAGTCATACAGTCTATATTTCTTTGGTGTAACTTTTATCACTCTGATAGATTTTTAAGTTTTAATCATGTTATTCAGTATAGTTATAGTTCATTCATTTCAATTTCTGTTTAATAATCCATTGTATGAATGCCTTAATTTACTTTTCCATTCTACTACAGATGAAGATTGTAATTGCTTGTATATTTTTGTTATTATGAGTAAGGATGCTATGGAATTTGTCCATATCTAGCTTAATATACCTATGCATACATTTTAGTAGCATATATAATTAGAAGTGAATTTCTGGACTTAACAGTATATATATCTTTAACTTTACAAGAATGAACAACAATAAAAATTCAAAACAATTTTGTAAATTATGGTTGTATAATTTAACTGATTCTATTTAAGAAAATAGTTTAATTTCTGAAGACTACCATGTAGGATTGCATATTCAAAAAGGAAACAAGTGAATAGTCTGATAAAACTTTAAAATAAAATGCAAATAAGGTATTGATGCCAGGAAAAGATGAGTATTTACATTTTCTTCATCATAGGAGTGGCAGGAATGCATCAACGACATTTATCTGAATTCTTAAGCAACAGTGAAGAGATAAATAACTAGATATGCTGGAGATTCAAAAGTAAACTATAATACTTAGATTTCAACTTTATGGAACCTCATTATTCTCTCACTGTCTTAGCTTCCAAGGTCTGTTATGATAAAATACCATAAAATAAGCGGGTTTAGAGAACAGAAATTAATATTCTCATCATTCTGGAGGCTATCAATACAAATGCAGGACCATGTTTTCTCTCTGTCCAGTGTAGGTTTTGATTCTTTCTCATTTTTCAGCTCCTAATAGTCCCAGGTATTTCTTGGCTTTTCTTGTCCTGTGAAAAGATCCTCACATGGTTTCTTCCCGTTGTGTATGACTTTGTTTCTCTGTCACTTCTCTCAATTTATGAGACACCATTTAGTAGGGATTAGGACTCACTAGTATGACCTTGATAATAAACATAGAAACAAACAAAAAACCCTATCCTTAGATAAGGTCACATTCACAGGTACAGGGGTTAGGACTATAAAATATATTTTTGAGAAACACAGTTCAATTCATAACATTCATAATATTAAAATTTTTGAAATCTATCAAGCCCAACATACAATAACAATATATATATATGGGCTTATTAGAGAATTGACTTTAAAAAAAATAACTTTCTTCTTCTTTTTTTTTTTTTTTTTCTATTTATAAAAGTTGGTTCATGGGAAGCTTTCACTAAGTATAATAAATCAAATCAGTCAGTACTCCCTATGACCTGGCATGTAATGACTGTTTCTCTTGAAGTGAAAAAGGAGTTCTCATAGTTTGAGTTACCATGAAACAAAATCTCTTTTCTTAAATTACATCAGAATTTTGGAACCAGTATATGAAAGATTAAAATAAATGTGGACTTTTCCTATGGGGGGAAAAAGGAAGGAGGAAAGTAACAGAATCTTCATCTTGGGAGTTTCCTCTGGGCCAGGGTTTTTAGAAAGTATCTACCAGGTGGTGGGCAATACTAAAGGTGTCCCAAGAAAAAGATAGATTTTGTTTCTTCTATCACACAACTTATAGTGTAAAGGCAAATATAGAAGAGTAGAGAAACAGAGATATTATGACAGAGTGAAAAGGCATATAAAAAAGAGCACTTGATCAAGACCTGTAGATGAAGACGGTTTGACAGAAGGAGGAGGAAATGATATATTCTAGGAAGAGAAACAAAAGCTCACATATGAGAAAAGAAGTACAGGAAGACCAGTAAATTGAAGTCTTTGAAGTCAGAGAGGCATGAGATGAAGTCCTCAGACTTCCAATTAATAGCTGTGTGACCTTTATTTCCTCCCTGTAAAATGAGGATGATAATACTTTTAAGTAAAATTTTTTATTTAGAACACCAAGACCTCATAACTGATATCAAATTCATGAATAGGAGATCAGGGCATTGGTGTCATGCTTGACACTACATCAAGGGGACTTAGTTGTTTGTTCTTTGTGTTCTTGTTATTCTTGATTCCCTTTGTGGACTTCATAAAGGACCAAACTTAACAATGGAGAACTTATCTATAGGCAAAAATGTACTGTTGGAGTTGTTGTTAAGTGCTCTCAAGTTGTCTCTGACTCGTAGTGACCCTATGTACAACAGAACGAAACATTGCCTGGTCCTGTGCCAGTCTCACAATCCTTGCTATACCTATGTCCATCTTTACAGTCACTGTGTCAAGCCATCTCATAGAGGGCCTTCCCTTCTTTAGTTGACCCTCCACTTTACCAAACATGATATTAAGGAAGAACAAAGGAAAGGCCATCTACTTCTCAAATAATTGGCCAGTGAAAAACCTTATGACTATAGTGAAACACTGTCTTAAATATTACTGAAAAAATGTACTAGGATAGTGGAAAAGAGCCAGTTTCTCAAGAGGACACTTCATTGCTGAAGAGATGCTCAGTGATAATTTTTCCTAACCCAAACCAAAACAATTAAACCCTTACAGTCTGGCTTGACTGGGGCTATGGGTGATTCCGTGCTTCTGACTTTTACTAAACCACAATCCAGTGGATGCATGGTTCCATGTTAATTTATATACTTTTGTATCAAGAAAATCTAAGCTGGTGCCTTTCAAAATATATTTCCCTATGTTTTTGAGGGAGAAAAAAAAACTGCTGATATTGAGCATCTGCTAATATTGTACAATCCTTATTATATAACTCTCTTACTTACATTATCTCAATTAATTCTCACTATACAGCTCTGGTAGAATAGTACCTAAGGCACTGGACTGATACCCAGAAGACTGGCAGTTCAAACCCACCAGCCACTCGCTGGAAGGAAGGTTGTCAATATACTTCTGTAGTGATACTGCCTTGGCAACCCAAGGAGGGGTCACTATGAGTCAAGTCTGACTCGACGGCACATAACAACAACAACAACATAGAAGTTATAGAAACTCTGGTAGTATAGTGCCTAAGGCATTTGGCTGCTAGAAGGCTAGCAGTTCAAACCCACCAGTCACTCCTCGGAAGGAAGATTGGGCAATCTGCTTCCATAGTGATATCACCTCAGAAACCCAAGGAGAGGTCACTGTGAGTTGGATCCAACTCAATGGCAATGAATTTTTGTTGACTATAGACCTTATGCAATACCTATTATGATTCTCATTTTATAAAAGTTGTACCTAAGATACAGAGAAATTAAATGACTTCATAAAATTGTGTGGCTCAAAAACAAATAAAGGAATCTTCTTTTTGACTGTTTTACTATTAAATTACTCTAAAGTGAAAATTACCCAGGGTAATTATTAGTTCTTGAATCTGAGCAAGTAATCTAGATCTTCGATTCTGAAACCAAACTTGGACTCTTGACTCTGGAACCCCAATCTCTTTAGCAAGTTGTTCTCTGGAATCAATCCCAGGGTAAGGGTTGTTCTCAAATGCCTCCACGAGGTTGTGTAACTGAGAATAGTTATAACAGGTGTGACAGCGCCTGGCTTGACTCCTTTCTTCAGGGTCATCTTGCTCATGGTCTTGGCTTGATTCTAAGCCTTCTCTGGTATAGGTCCCTTCAGAACTGGGTGTCTAGCTCTTCGATTCTGAAACCAAATCTGGATTCTAGATTCTTCAATGTTGATTTCTAAAGCAAGTTTTCAAATGGCAGCATAATTTGGGTAAGGTTTGTGGTTGAATGCATCAATGAGAATTTTCACTTGCTCCCCTGTGAACTTAGTGTGATTGCGCCTACAATTCATTGGTACAATCTTGTTTAGAGAGTTGTCCTGGGCCAGGTTAGGATGGGAATCCCGGTTTCCAAAGACCCAGGGTTACAGGTGAGGAGAGACAACTCAGGGACGCCCAAAGTAGCAGGTGGGAAGAGCAGGAGAAAGGGGATTAAAAGCCAGGAAGCCAGAGAGAAGAGCAATCAGATGAAGGGATTTGGTGAGGAGAGGAAACACA